AAGAAAGAAAGAAAGAAAGAAAGAAAGAAAGAAAGAAAGAAAGAAAGCCCTTTCGGCATCATCTTTGGCCCCTGGCAAGGATGGGGCTGCTAAGAGCCCCAAGGATGTTTCTGAATTTTAGCCAAGAGGTAAATTGGTTACTTTTCTTTGTTCTTTTTACTCTAAATTGCCCAGATAAGCTTCACTTCCTGTTTTTCACACACACACACAAGAATCACCCTAGAATCACTTGTACATCAGCCAGGTGAAGTGAGAATAAGACTCCTTGCCTGGTTTCTAGAAGGAAATGAAAGGAGAAGTGAAGGCAACAGTTACTGGATTGATGAGCCCTCAGCAGAGAACCCAGAGAAGCCAGATCACAGCATCCTTTTCAAATATCCAAATCAAAGTCCGTTAGACTCACCTGATGGGCTCACACAGCGTCCATCTATTTGGGCTCCTCACTTTTCTTTGACCTCTAAGGCTGGTCTTTAAAGCAATGACCCCATGATCTGCTTTGATAGCTGCTGGAGAGGCTTAAATCATCTTGGTATTCCTCCAATATGGGTTCAAGAGACAGAGAGAAGAGATATTTAGCCATCCTTCAATTTTTATTTTCAAACAATAGTGGACTTGTCTCTCTTGGGTATAGAGGTGCTTCTGTGAGCCCAGGGTCTGAAGTCTGATATTTAGGCTTCGTTTCCTTCCTTCTATTTTTAAAAGTTTATTTATTTTTATGTATATTGGTGTTTTGCCTGCACGTATGTTTATGTGAGGATATTGGGTCCCTGGAACTGGAGTTACAGACAGTTGTGAGCTGCCATGTGGGTGTTGGGATTTGAACCCGGGTCCTCTGGAAGAGCAGCAGTGCTCTTAATCTCTGAGCCATCTCTCCAGGCCCTGGGCATCATTTTCTCATTAAGAAGCAAATCATTAATTAGAGATAGCTGTCTGAGTAACTTAGAGATTTCTTTTTTGTTTTGCTTTTTGAGACTGGGTTTGACAGACAGTAGCCCTGACTGTCCTGGAACTCACTCTGTAGACCAGGCTGGCCTTGAACTCACAGAGATCCACCTGCTTCTGCCTCCCAAGTGCTGGTTTTAAAGACATGAACCACCACTGCCTGGCCACAGAGATTTCTTAAAAAAATATTTTGAATTTATTTCTTATTATTTTATTTGTATGGGTGTTTTGTCCATATATACATCACATGTATTCCTGGTGCTTTCAGAGACCATAGATCCCTGGGACTGGAGTAACAGACAGCTGTGAGTCACCGTGTGGGTGCTGGGAATTGAACCCAGGTCCTCTGGAAGAGCAGTCAGTGCTCTTAACCACTGAGCCATCTCTCCAGCCCCTTAAAATATTTTTATTTATTTGTTTGTTTACTATTATTATTATTTTCAAGATAGGGTTTCTCTGTAGCTTTGGAGCCTGTCCTGGAACTCTCTCTATAGACCAGGCTGGCCTCGAACTCACAGAGATCTGCCTGCCTCTGACCCCTGAGTGCTGGGATTAAAGGCATGTGCCACCACCACCCGGCTCTCTAGCCTTTCTTTTACCCATGGTTCCATCTATGTGAGGATAAGTCAAAGGCCTTGTCTAACTATGGCTTCTCTTGGAAGCATGGAGGAAATTTCTCCTCTGTGTTAACACTCCTCTTTGTAGATTGGACATTGGTTAGAATTTACCAAAGGGCGTTGCATTTCCACGAGCTCCCTGAACAAAAGAAGGAGTGACTCCCACAGTTACAGGACATCTCAGGAGGTGCCCCACAGTCCCCTGGGACCAAGCTGACCTTGGACGAAAGGGGGTAAAATATTCTTCCTTTTAATCCCTCTGACCCCAGCAGTCTAGGCCCCCAAATACAGCCATTGCGCGTCTGGAGGGTCATTTATACCAGTCTGCTACTTTGAACTACTGTGTGATGTTTACATAAAACTTGAGCCAGAACCAAACACTTTTGCTTTGTTCGTTTGTTTGACTCTTAAGCTTTTGCTGCTCTACCAGATGATCAGAGTTCGGTTCCCAGTATCCGTGGCCAGGGAGCCGTGGGGTATAGGGGCTCATAGTTGCTTGTAACTCACTCCAGCTCTAGGGAATATGATGCTCTCTCCTAGCTGCCATGGGAACCCAAAACCACATGGCAGGACTCGTACACACGCACATACATACACACACATTAGAAACAAAATAAGCATTTAAAAATAAAGGATGAGTGTTGGCTACAACCCCTCTAGCTTTGAAATAACAACCAAGGGCCACTGAGATGGCTCAGTGGGTGGTAAAGACCTGTCACCAAGCCTGATTACCCGAGTTCAATCCCTAGGACACAGGTCGTGGACAGAGAGAAACAATTCCTGCCAGCTGTCCTATGAGGTCTGCACAGGCACCGTGGCAATGCTTCCAAATACATTGATCAATCAATCACTCAATCAATAAACAAATGCAAAAGAGTGACCCAAAGACTACACCTATCCAGAAGAATTGAAAACAGAAATCCACCTACTTCTGCCTCCTAAATACTGGGGTTAAAGATGTACACCACCATGCCCGGATTTTTTACTTTTGTGACCAACTGAGTTTAATTAAGGTTGTTTTCACGAGCGGGAGTGCGGAATTTACCAGGTTTGTGTATTTGTTTACTTTTTAGACTATGCTTCATGCAGCCCAGGCTGGCCTCAATTCCTGATCCGCCAGCCTCTGGCTCACAGGTGCTGGGATTATAGACGTGTATTAACATGTATGTTCTATGTAGCGCTAGGGACCAAACCCAGAGCATGCTGCATGCTAAGCAAGCACTCCACCAACAACTTAATTGCCAGCTCTTTTTGTGGGTTTTGTTTGTTTGAGATGGAGTCTCATTCTGTAGCTTCCATGGTTGGTCTAGGCAAGTGTTCCTCTTGCCTCTGCCCCTTGAGTGCTGGCAAAACAGATGTACACTACCAAGCCCAACTTTTTATCTATGTTTATATATCAACGTTTTATTTTGTATCTTAAAATCACTAGTTCTTTTTTTGACTAAGATTTTATTCATGAGATATTTTAAAATAAAAGTTTAAAATTTTGTTGCTAGTTTATGCCATTTAAAATTTTTTTCATCATATTAGATAGAACCTACAATTCAATAACAAAGAAAAATGGGAAACTGGGCAGTGGTGGGCACACCTTTAATCCCCGCACCCAGGAAGCAGAAGCAAGTGGATCTCTGTGAGTTCAAGGCCAGCCTGGTCTACAGAGCTAGTTCTAGGATAACCAGGGCTACATAGAGAAACCCTGTCTTGAAAAAACAAAGAGACAAACAAACAGAAAAAAGGTAAGAATATTCTCCTTTTTGGACATTTATTGTGTGTGTATGCATGTATGTCCATGTTAGGACACAGGTGTAGAAGTTTGAAGACAATGCATAGGAAGAAATGTGTTTGGTTAGACTCAGTGTCTTAGTTAGGGTTTCTATTGTTGTGAAGAGACACCATGACCACAGAAACTCATTTCATTGTGGTGGCTCGCTTACAGTTTCAGAGGTTCAGTCTGTTATCATCATGAAGGGGAGCATGGCGGTGCGCAAGCAGAGATGGTACTGGAGGAGCAACTGGGAATCCTAGATCTTGCAGGGGCAGGAAATGAACTGAGACACTGGGCAGTTTCCTGAGCACAGGGAACCTCAAAGCTCCTCCCACAGTGACACACTTCCTCTAACAAGGCCACACCCACTCCAACAAAGCCATGCCTCCTAATAGAGCCACTTCCTATGAGATTGCAGGGAGCCGATTACACTGAAACTACCACCGTCAGGGAGACACATGTTTTATGTGTTTCATGTTGAAATCAGGAAAAGTGAAAGATAAAAGCTGCTTTAAGTGAGTCTGTTGCCGGTCTGTCCGTGTATGCGCAGTGCAGTTTAGAGGCTCCCTACCAGGGACTGCCAGTCTTCTGCTTTAACGGTCTCCAGAAAACACTGAGAACCTTTCTCATTTATCTAAGGATCTAGGGCAAAACCTTAGGACAAGGAGACAGAAGGTATGGACAGGAATCAGAAGGAGGAAAACAGTTTGCCAGTATGGGGCAAAGGTGAGGACACAGCTGGTTCCAGGAAGAATCGGTAAATATTTGTAAATACCAGAACCCTCATTTTTCTAAACCATAGCTTTCTGGCTTCCTAATGATGTGGCAGGGAGAAGGTGGGATTAAGACAACAGTCACTCAGATCATGAAGACACCAAAGCAAACGGGATATTTGTAATGCCAACTTCTTCCAGTTTTCCCTCTAAACCTAGGGAGATCTCCCATAACTTTTATTTTCTCAACGTGTATTTTTTTTTCCTAGACAAGATCTCTCTGTATAGCCCTAGTTGTCCTTGAACTCACTCTGTAGACCAGGCTGGCCTCGAATTCATAGAGATATGCCTGCCTCTGCCTCCTGAGTGCTGAGATTAAAAGTCTCACCTTTAGTGGTCCTCCTGGCTGATCTCACGACTTTTAAAAATATGGGTGAAAAGGCTGGAGAGATGGGTCATGGGTTAAGAGCAGTTGCTGCGGGCTGGAGAGCAGGCTCAGCAGTTAAGAGCACTGGCTGCTCTTCCAAAGGTCCTGAGTTCAATTCCCAGCAACCACATGGTGGCTCACAACCATCTGTAATGAGGTCTGGTGCCCTCTTCTGGCCTGTAGGCACACACACA